TGGTTAGAGCGTTGGCTTCCAGTAAAGGCCTTCTCTAATACGCGGGTTCAAAATACGCCGAACGCTTCGAGTTTTTTACAATTGGGTCAACTCAACTTAAGCAGTCTAAAAATCTAACACTTCCCAAAGGGGGCCTATCTTGAATAATTTTATTCAACCAATAGCAACAGCCTGGTGATTGTGACTGACACCAGTAAAACAAAAAGAGGTCAGCCAGCAAACAGGTTAGAAACGAATTACCTCCTCCTCGTCCTCCTCCTCCTGACAGCGTCTTCCATCGAGTGAGTAGAACTGTTGGATACCATCACGGATTTTGTCGATCATTGTAATCAGTTCATTGACTGTGGCCTGTTCTTCCTGTGTACACTCCATCTTCGGGTCGGCAGGTAGGTTGATAATATGCATGTCGCTTTCCAGTAGCCGTTGGTATTCCTTGAGTACGTTTGCAGTTTCCTAAGTGGGAAGGTAATAGTTCGCTGATAAAAACTAATGATAGTTGTTTAAAAGTTAAAACAATGGGTCAGTTTCGCACCTTTAGATATCCACACCGAATACATATTGCAATTACTTCGCATTTGATGAAGACAGGTCAGGCTAGCTTGCGGCAAAAAAAAACTAATTTTGTGCCACTATGGATGTCTTTGTAATGACGGCTTACCCTGCTGCTCAAATCGAAAATCACTGCCACCTGTCTGGCGACTACAGAAAAACCGTCGAAGTTGATCGATTTGCTTAGTCCCTGCTACGCAATAGTCTCTGGCAGTTTGTCCAAGGCACACAAGTTTCACACAATCCAGGTAGCCAAATTGATGCAAGATAGACTGAAACCTTGTCTGTAAAATAGGTTGCAGTATGTTCTGTGCTGGGATAGCAGTTTTATTAGTAATCTTAAAAACACGAAACTGTTGACTTTTCGGGGCAATAAGTGCCTAGGCGTCAGCTGAGCCACGTAAAGTCAATCACAAACGTAGCCGTGTCAGAACCTTCTTCAAACGTGTTAAAACACACTCTAGCGACGACAGTGGGAAGCAGGAGGACATGAAGTACTTACACGCCCTTTTTAAAACCAACGGTTATCCGAAGTCCTTCATCCGCAAGTGCCTCAAGAAGCCTCGCGTGCATCGGTCGAGCGAAGAAAAGCCAAAAATTTGGCTCGCGATTCCCTACGTGAAAAACGTTTCAGAGGTGAATGCACGAATCCTAGAACCTTTTGGGATCGGAGTGGCGCATAGACCGGATTTTACAATCAGGCAGCAAATCATGAAGCCCACACACCCGCTGCCAGCAACTGAGCAATAAGTCGTGGTCTATAGCATATCAGGCAAAAACTAATCAATCGCAAGGACAATCTGTCTT